TTTTCCTTAATGCTTGCAATAGCGGGTGCAGTATTCAGTTCAACTCCAAAAATTACCGATTGTTATTCATCTAGTTTAAATTTATTATCCAAAGTAGAGAATAAACCCAAACTTAACGAAGGCTACGTTTTGTATCTTCTTTTTCAAACCCCCAAAGAAGACCAGGCTTGACCAGGTTTTCACAAGATAAAAATATATGAAACCTTATAAAAACTCAGAATTGAGCAACGACAATGGCTCCAAAACCTATAAAATTTTGTTAAAGGTTAGGTAGCTTAGATTATATAGGTCAGATTTTTCAAGACTAGATTATATTAAATTTATTTCAAACTTTTTGGTGCTATTACAGTTTTTTGAAATCGGTTCTTTTTTGTTAAAATTACTTTTATTTTTTTTATTTTTAGTGATTTAATTTTAATACTTCGGTATTATAAAATATGAGTAGAACTAGCAAAGACGCTGCTCAATAAGAAAACGGCTCGCACCATTACTGTAAACCGTTAAGGAGTTCTATTGTTCGTCATATTCGAATACTATAATTACTTGACCATAAATGGTAGGGCAACGCAGCAGCCTCAACCGTTGCACGAATGGATAAGCCCGTCTAGGTAAGCACCACGACCTCACAGAAAACCAGCGTAAAGTGGAAGTATGACAAATACTTTCGCTTTTCGTCTGGTGAGTGAGGTAGCCGGAGCCCAATTTTCAAAAGGTTGGCAACGCATCTGTAACCCTCGGGTGTAGCAGATGTCCATGGGCGGCGGTTTCACTCACCATCAGGTGAACCGTCTGCTCGTTTGGCAACTTTTCACATAAGAAAAAAAAACGATGTTACAGTAGGTGACTCAAATATTAACTGCTGCCCCGCGGAGGGCTTGAGAGAAAAGCTGTGTTCTTAGTACACACACAGCACCGTGTGGCCAGATCGGGTGCCCAAACACCCGGAGAGAGGAGGCCTGAGAAGGCCACATTAGCGCCGTGGTTCGCGGAAGATTGCGTTTTCGTGTTCCCGAGTCCCCGACAAAAGTGACAGCGCAGGTGCAACGTGGGTTTTTTGTGGGTACCCCCGTGTCACTCGGGAATTCCCCCATAGCCCTGCTGCCTACCCTCGAAGCGGCGGGGGATTCGTAAAGGATTTTTCCCACTTAAAAAACAAGGTGACTCAAATATCCGGGTAGCCTATAAAAGATTCGGCCGAGTATCGTCAATTTGCTCCTAAGAGTTAAAGATTTCAGCTACTTTGTCATGAATCCCATAAACAGAACCTAACCAAACTCTCATCAAACTGCCCTTGAAGTACATCCTTTCCAATAAGAAAAGAATCATCGAAATCGGTTGGTTTAAGTATCAAATTAAGTATTCGTCCATATGTTATTCACATCGTTAATGCAAATTTAAGACTTCTAGTGATTCCATAGTATTCCAAAACTGGACCACACGCTAAGCACCAGCTTTCCAATAAAGAAAGAATCATCAAAATCGGGTCATTCAGTTGAAAGTTCTGAGGTAATAAACACAAAAAAATACAGTCGAATTGAGAGCCTCCTCCTTTAACGAAGTCGGTTATAAAGATGGATATGTGATGATTGAGTATCATAAAACACGCTATAGTATTAACGCCACCCACACAGACTAATTCTAATGGCTGTAGTGGTCGAAAAAAATCCCAACATTAGCTTGTATTAAGGGAGATTACAAAATCATAATACAATAAACCGTAAGCGCGGTCGTCTTCAAACACAAATTCGACCTTATACAATGCAAAATGCTTTGGCGCGTCCGAAATCCCCACATTAACAGTAGCAGCAACGGAAGAGACTCCGCTGCCCGGTCTCCGAAACCTCTTACGTACAGAACCGGATGCGAAACGCAACAACAAATACATTTTTCTGTTCGCGCCGGATGTTTGACTATTGCGGGCCAACGACCCCCATATTACGGTGGGCCGCTAAGAGCGCGGTGTGACGTAGATTGTCCGAACGATTGTAATTAGAATTCAACCGGTAAAGCGGAATTTAGGTCAAGTAAAATGTATCATATAGTCCGTATAATGCTTGACAAATATATTGTATAAAAACGTGTGTGCTCTTATTACGTAAGAAGTTATACTACTTTAGAGTAACAAAAGAAAAGTAACTAAAAATTTTACCTCATGCGCCAGTATTCTTTGTTTGTGAAAAGGACAATTGATTATGGTTTAATAAAATAACTTGGAATTATAATATGTAAATGTCAAAAAGTTATTATTAATTGCCATGATGCAATACTTTGAAGTTGGTGGAACTTCATTATGTCGCTTTTTGAATGTTGGTGTGCGCGTTTTTTAAAAATTTTAAAATTAAAATTAAATTTTAAAATTTTACTTTCGTAGTTTTTCCCAAATGCGCCAAATGAAGTATAACTTCTAAAATTTTAAACATTATTAATTAGTTAACCCAGTACGGAATTTATTAAGACAAACATAGCAATTTAACAAAAATTCAGATCAAATGTAGTCACTCAAGTAACTTTTGTACACTTTTTTATTTCATATATCGTTACGATAAATATTTTTTTATTAATTTTTTTTAATTAATTAAAGTTATATTTGCCTTGTCAGACTTTTGCCTTAACTTCATATTTATACAAAATCCATCACATCGCTTTCGTATTCTTATGGACAATATAAATTTCAACAATGTTCAGGACACACTGACCACAAAAAAGAAAAATGACGAATATGTCTTATAAACGTACATTGGCAAACTTCATGATGGGAGAGATAAGATGTTATACTTCTTTAACGTAACCGACAATGAATAAAAGAAAACGTCAATTTCGTGGCTCCACCACTTCGTCAAGAAATTGGCACACGAGTTTAGTGGACCGTCTAGTGTACTTGTAAGACATAAATAGACAAGTACACTCGTACCACTACTGGTTATGTGGCAAGTAGGAAACATCATCTCTCCGGCTATCTTATTAGTGCATTGCAACTTGTCTAGTTGGATGTGGCCGTGTTTTAAATCCTTTACTTGAATGACCAGTTGCAATATTTTACGCGTAAAATTTGCACGTGTATGTTTATCTGGTAATTGAATACTGTAATATGTGACAGCAAGAGGCTATGTAAAGTCTATTCGATCTTTCTTTGATATACATATGCGGCTGCTTTCGATATTCTATCTGTAGACTTGGTAACTGGAGATAGAAATTGGACTTAAGTGTTATGGAGCTCTAATACCCTATCGCTAGTAACAAAATTAAAGATAGAATATTGTAATCACCCGTTACGGTCTCTCAGGGTTTACCCTTAAATTCAAATATTTGAATGCCATTGTCCGCTATGAAGCTGCAGTAAGTATATTTTCATTATTGTCTAATATCAATCTGGTCAATTAGGTTACATAAATACTAGTCATTTTCTGGTATGGAATTCACAACCTACGGTGCTAAATTTCGCCGGCGACTGTGCCAACGATGCCAAACAAGCTTTACAACCAGGAGATCATATTTCAGTTAGTAAACAACTAAAACGAGACAGGTGATTGGTCTGCTTGTCCTCTCAATGTCGGACTTGTATTAATAAGTTTCCTTGTCAATAAAGCTAAGTTACGATTTAAAATACATACAAGCTATTTACTCCTTAACAGTGCAGCATTTGGGACGTCGATTATCTTAGGTTACTGATACGAACCACGTGGTACTTTCCCATGCAAAGAAGCACTTACTTAAGTTTGTATCCGGTGTTCATCAGGTTCTTCTGCCATCATTTTCGCAAGGGTGTGAGGATTTTACTGGCACTGCATATCTAACTTATAATGTTTTTCTTCCTCTTTAAAGTTTAAACTCAGAGACAGAGGCAGATTGTTCCATAAGAGAGCCTAGTCCCGTGAGAAAATGGGAATTAAAAATTAAGGGTATGGCGTGGCGTTTTCCAAACCCTGCGTTTCCAGGGGATGTTGTCTGCTAGCCTAGACCGATCCCCTAGTCCATCTCTGACCCTGTAACAGAGTCAAGTTGTTGGCTAAAATATAAAAGAAATTGTTTTGCAACATTGAAAAATGGTTTTTAACAAGCCCTTTGCCGACCTCATAAACTGAAGAACTAGACAAACACACGTGCCGACTACATAAATGTTAAACAAATTAAATATACAGCTGCGTAATGCAGTGACCTCGCTATTTACGGATTAACTAACTAAAATTACCGTGATAGCGCCACACAATACCTTCTGCTGTTAACTGTCGCCAGAACTAATAATCACGGTTTAATAGCAGACCATTGTTGAATACTTGACTTGATAACTGAGATTATGTGTAACTTGTTGCCATAAAATTTGTGTTTATTTAACTCTGCGTATTTATTTGATTTTGTTGGTAATCCAAAATAAATAAATAAATAAAAATAGAAGTTTTAACACGTTTACGTTACTGCGGCAGGCTCGTTCGGGGACGCACCACGACTTCCCAGAAGACCGGACTGAAGTGGAAGTAATAATAAGTAAGGACTTTTCGTCTTGCGAGTACTTCGGTTACATACCGGGGCCTACATTTCAAATGTTGACAACGCTTCTTCAGGTGTTGTAGGTGTCCACTGGCAGCAGTAGTCACATAACATCAGGTGAACCGCTGGCGCGCTTGCCAGATGTTTACACAAATAAATCTTGTGAGTCACCTCCTAGAAATTCCCAACGCATCTCCAGTATGGTGGCACTAGCGGTGGTACTCATCATCAGGTTATTGCGGTCCGACAGCCATATGCTTTTATAAAACCAAACGGGCATCTTCATCGGCCGAGCACAATTCGCTTCTTCGTACAGCGGCCGGCGTCCAAATATCAATTCGCAGTTAGCGACTCGCCCACTCCGCTTCCGCTTGCCGGTTTTACCCGTAGCCGTCCCGTTTCCGTGAACCCGGATGCGACCCGGCCCGTTAGTTAGCTCGTAGCGGGTGAGTTTTGTCAATAACATATAAAAAGTGCTAGATCGCGGCCGTCGGCGGGCCCGCTCATTACATTTAATTCTGGCCAGTATTTAGCAGCGCTTGCCGCGGCGAGCTCTTGCGACTCGACTCTTCAGTCTCGACTCGGCTGTGGGGCGTCTGCTTGCGCGGTTTGCTCTTAAAGTGCGGTGAAGTGGTCTCTGATGCTTCTTGGGAGCGGTGCTGGACTAAGATTACCTGTAACCAAGTAAGTGGTGTGCGTTCGTTGAGCAGTTGTTGTGAAATTCGAATGATCTTACGAATCAAATCCAATTCTTGCTAATATTCAAAAGTTTTAGTAGTTAAATACATTAAGAACACCTAAAAATATAAGTATGTAATTGTGTTCGTAATTATTTGTGAATACCCGATTTATATTTATATTTTACATAATATTGCAAGACTATTATTTAATATTCAGTTATTGAGAAGTATCGGTTATATGTGTCGTGAGTTTTAGTACTCGTAAGTATTAATCAACGATTAAAAAACTTACCTAGATACTTTATAAAGTTCTCATGATATTTTATACAGAATCGGTACTTTCCCTGTAAGTGCTATTTTTAAATCAAGCACCATATTGCTGTCGTTTACCGCCTTTTTATTATATCATTTTATTTAAGCCCTGATTTTAGAATAAATTACTCTGAGCCGTAATCACGTCCTTAGGGAATCGAACTGATGACCCGGCACTGATGATTTCAATATTTATTGCTATTTTATTTACACGCAGAGACTATAGGAGAAGTATTTATATTAATTACTAGCTTTCCCCGCGGCTTCGCTCGCGTTGAAGCCCTTAAATAAATATATATGCCCTTTAAGAACCCTTTTTCCAATTAAAAATAGCCTATGTTCTTTCTCAGCCTCTAGACTATCTGTGTATATTTCGTTTAATTCGGATAAGTAGCTTTGACGTTAAAGCGAGACAGACAGACAGAGTTACTTTCGCATTTATAATATTAGAATGGATAAGAACCTTCTGTTTTTTCCTCCTTCTAATCCTCTAATTAAAACATTGACAGTCTATGCAAATTGTTTTCCACTATCTATACAAACATTATGGTTTTAATACCTAATCTCAGTATCCATGTGAATGAAGAAAGTAATAATAGTAGTACTTTAGTAATGATAATCAACATCAGCAACCGGTTTCCTTATATGTATTCTCCGGGACACGATTTGATTAAACAGCTTCGCTACCAACCCACATTTATCAGCTTATCATCTGGATCGTGATCATTTCCAATAGTCACCGCTCTTCATAAATTCAATTTAACACTTAAAGCTTACTAATCTTTTTCGATTAGTAAGACATGTAGTTGCCATCAGCATCCAGTAACAGACTATAATATACTAGCTTTCCATTAATAGACGTGAGCTGTAACAAAGAAGTTTATTACCACTTCAGCGGCACATTCGAGATCCTCATCATCGTCGACGAAAGTTATTCTTATTTCACTTGAACCATTACAAAAGTCCATTCTTTTGAATTTTCCTAAATTTGGCCTTTTTTACTTCGTAAAATTCTTAATAGACCACACAATATCGGGGCAGCATCAGGGCTATGTGGGTGTGCCATTGCAGCTGCACTATCATATCTGCCGGGAATCACCAGACACGGGAACACGAAAATGGCCTCAAACTTCTCTTTTGTCCAAATAAGTTGACTATCCGTTAGTTTGAAAAAACTTTACATAAAAAAAGAAAAACATAAGCTACGCGATTTGAATACAGCAGTCCCTTCACTTTCTGCAGTAATTCATTTCAAAAAGCCGTTAAATATATATTTAAGTGCCGAATACTGAGCTTGTAATCCAAAAGGTAAAGGTAAGTCACTCAAGTGATGGTTCACTTGTCACAAAATAGTTTTGGTCTATATAATCAGTAGGATTCGTATGATATTCATGATTCAAAATCACTTTTATGATAAGCCTTGTGGCTTCAACAATATTATCTATTAAGGAGATTGAGAGGCATGAGCATATTGTATACTTACACCATATTTTGCATGTATACAATACGCTCATACCTCTTCGCCCCAAAAAACATTACACCTTATCTCTAAACTACCTGCATTTAATACGTATTATGGTATTCAACCATATTTTATTTTATATTATATTTATTCTACATATTTTAATGTTCAACCATATAACTAAAAAATTACCTATAGTATAATACCAACTATAACAATAACATGATTAGCTGTTATACAGCTGATACTTTTGACATTTAGAACTACATCACTTCTGAAAGTGGTGAGGTAATGTAGTTCTAGATTCTTCACACTTCGTAGTAGTAAAACACGAACCTATAACTATTCCGTGATACCAAGCCAACGTCTAACTATTTCATCAACGGAATTTGCTATCCATCAAATTGCAAAGTTGGAATGTTTTAAACTCCAAGTCGATATTATTGGGCTTACCGTGGCATTTGAATTCATACACTGTTGTGTTACGACGTTACACGTCTAACTACCACGTCTACACATCTGATGACCTATTCACGTACCAATTGCTGTTAAGTAAGTTCGACCTCAGTGACTACCACTTTCAGCGATCCTAACTCATCTCCGACATAATCTAAGCACGGATTCTCGTACTTTACGCGAATCTTCTAACATTTCTTTCTTAGTCACAGCGTGGAACATGTTATCCGCAGTTAAATTTCCATTTACAGTATTGTATTTTGTAATTTATATAGCTACGTGTATGTGTAAACCGTTAAACGAAACGTACATAGCACATGTCGTATTTATAGCGAAATCGCTGGAGTTGAAGCATGGGCGCGGTTGGCGCCGGACACTGTATAGGATGTCCGGGTAACTAGCGCTGATTTATTAAGAAATTCCGATGCCGTCGTTTCAATTACAACTGCGGGCTCATTCTTCAAGAATTTGTCCGAGGGCAGGGCTTTGCTGGTGAAATAAGATTTATTGGTGCAGTAACAACAATAATATATCATAACGACAGTTTCATTTCTTGATAAGGCAAATGAAACAGTATCGCTAGTTATGTAGATGCGAAAATATGTGTTTCACTGTTTCTGTTTCAATTCATGCAACAGCATAGAGTTAAATTAATGATTTTACGAATTCAAACACAATTTTATTTCGTTTATAAATTACCGTTGTTTTACAAAACTTAATGGTATACACAGGGCAGTCTGAGTTATGACCATAAATGCCATAAACTATTCAAATTTCATACGTCGGGAATTCAAAATCACAGTAAAACGCAATAATATACGTAAAATAGTTTAATTGTAAAATGTGTAGTATTCGCGTAAACACCGAAGTTTGGAAACAATGAAGTTTGGAGTGGAAATTTCGTGATATGGCAAAATAATCAGCTTTCTTAGTTCGATCATTGGTAATTTTTTGTGCGTGAGAGTAGCAATCGAGTAGACGCTAGTATGCGTCAAGAATTCACCGTCGCTGAAGAACACATGGAACCACAATAACTGGAAGATAGTAGATGCGTTTTAGAGCGAGATAGAAAAGAAGACCCTCGTTACGTCATTCACTAGACACAAAGGAATAGTATAACACTTCCACTTCACGCCGACCCTCTGTGGAGTCGTGGTACTTTCCGGGACGGACCTGCCAATTCGTGCAACAACGAAGACTGTCACGTGGCCCTACCACAGTAAAAACTAATCCGCATCAAGCTAATAGCTCTGACACAAGCCGGAGACTCATTCAACGTATTATTATTAAGTATTATTAAAAATTGTTAAACACTAGAATGTCTTCATACCTAAATTCTCTTTTCACCCGACTTCAAAAACGGGGGAGGATCTCAATTCGATTATATTTTGTTTTATGTTTGTTACTTCAGAATTTTCGATTGAGTGAACCTTTTTTTATTTGAAAGCTGGTGCTTCCCATGTGGTGCCATATTAATTTCATTTGTATTGGATCTTAAGTTCCGAAGATGCTTGGGGAAGTACTGAGAAGAATACAGAGCGAGACATTTGTAGTCTGTTTTGTTTTTGCTTATTAAAAAAAATGACTTGTACGAAAACTACTCGATGGGCTCTGCCGTTTCGTGGCAGTACCTCTACCGGAGAAATACCACTGTCTCAGATGACTGGCGTGAAGATGTAATATTGCTCCGTCGAGCAAGGTTAGACTGGTCACTCCACTCAAAGGTTGCCAGCGCGTCGCACGGTGCCCGAGCGTCCATTACTTAATTAAGTTGGGTGGACCACTTCCTGTTTAGGGTTCCGTACCCAAAGGGTAAAACGGGACTCATTACTAAGACTCTGCTGTCTGTTGTAATTGTTTTGACGTTCAATAAGAGCTTAAGTTAAGCCTATATTGATTAAAGATATTTTAACTTTGACTTTGTCTGTCTGCCTGTCGGTACGTGTGTCCGTCTGTCATCGGGCTGTATCTCATGAACAGACAGTAGACATTTGTTATTTACACAGATGATCTATTTATGTTGCCGCTATAACAAAAAATACTAAAAAAAACAGATTGAATTTTTTTTAAGTGTGTTATGTTTATAGATGGTAAGATGGTGGATGGTATGGTAAGGAATCCTTCATGCGCGATTCCGACTCGCACCTGGCCGGTTCTTTATTTCGACAACTCTTAGAAAAAACTCCAAACGGGTTATACAAGCGCAGCGGCGGGCGAGTAATTGCGCGGGGGTTCGAACCTCAGACTACCGCGGGACAGTGGACCGGTCTTTGTAAACTGTATCAATGGGTCAAATGCATCCGGAATAGATTCCCGCTAGCGTCGCAACGAGGTACAGTCGCGCGCAGGGTTTTGAACAGTTGTTTTCAACGAAAACATACTATTTGATTCGTATTTACATATTACAGTGCCGTTTAATTAGTGACTAAAGATAACAGTTCATCATTTCAGTTTCACCACGAATTCATAATGTAAAGCTACAAATATTTAATATAAGAATAATATTCTTTATTGAACACACTTTATAATACAGACTAATGAAGGCTAGTATTACAATAAAATTGATGGAAAATATGAACATTTATAGTATTTTTAAATAGTATCAAATCAGTCATATACAGCGTGTCTTTACAATCGCAACAATAAATGAACACACGTCTAACGCTACTTGCCAATAATCATAAAAATTCATAATAAAATCCATAATTAAAAAAAAAAATTTCAAAGAAACTAATTAAGTAAAAAAGAAACAAAATTTGTAACATTCTATAGATCTACAACTGACTGATTCATACATTCAGAGACTTTTTCATTCGTTGCCACAGCGTCGCATTACAAGCCTCTCCTTCTAACACTATGTTTTGTCTCTTTCAAATTCATTATTGTTTTTATTCTATTTCAATGTTATTTTTGTTGGCTGTATGCAAGGAGCTGAACGCCAATCTTACAAGGTATCCGCAGAAAACCAGTGCCGTGGTATTGTCTGCCAGGGCTATATACTGAGCGGAAACCTTTGTTGTGCATACATTTTTACAATTCTAATGTTATTTCTTTTTTTTTCCTATAATGTAATGCGCCGAATAAATATTTCTTTCTTTCTTCTTTCTTTCATTCAACCCATACATATGCTTTGTGATCTTTACAAATGAACTTTACGTTACAGTTTTATACGTAAGGTGTTCTAAAATTCGTTGTTTTGGTAAATTTAATAACTCAGTAAATATTGATGTTTAAAGAATGTAAATGTTTAATACAATTTTAAAAAGTTAACCTCTATAAGCGTGTTCATTCATTGTCGCGATTGTAAAGACACGCTGTATAAAGTATTAAACGAGTGAGTATAACTTTTATTCAAATAATTGCAAAGATTACGCTGACGGATTGTGAAACTGAACGAGAGGAATTATAGATAGAAAGAAGATTTATAAGAATTTTATTGCTAAATGCAATTTTAAAATGGCAAACATGTTTTGTAGCGTGCACTGTGTTAAATAAGGATAAAACAATACTTCAAATAGGGCACATAATCCACCGAAATAATGAAATGGTTTGTGTAAAGTGCGCGACTGTACCGCATTCTACTAAGCGGTACTTGCTTTAAGCTTGTTTCAATTCACTTTGTGTTGGTGAAGAGAAACCCTATAAGTCTGCACTAACGGAGACAGAGCGTGTGAAACTGGTGAGTGAGCGATTCTAATCGCAAAACTTTAACTCCTTTGTTAGCTCATAGGATTTTTTTTATGTGAGAAGGTGGCCAGCAAGCTGACGGTTCACATGATGTTAAGTCAAACCCCGCCCATTGACATCTACAAATACCGTAGATAGACATCTACTAATACCGTAGATAGACATCTACTAATACCGTAAGGTTGCGGATGCGTTGCCGTCTTTAACAAAGTGGGCTCACTCGCCAGACGAAACGTAGAAGTATAACACGTCCACTCCACTCCGGTCTTCTGTGAGGTCGTGTTACTTTACCGGATGGACCTGTTCATTCGTGCCTCAGTGAAAACTGTTGCGTGACTCTGCCAATTATAGTTATAATAAAAA